CGCGGCTTAGCACCCGCTGCCGCAGGGCGGCTCGCGCGCGCCTTCTCGGCCCGTCGCTGCCATTTTACAGATGCGGAGACTGAGGCACGCAGCGCGTGTGGCCGCGCAGGGCCACTCAGTAATGCAGCGCTGCTGGCGGCAGAGCTCCCGCGCTACCCCTGCACCCGGCGGGCCCCGCCCCGGGGTCCCAGCGCCAGTGGGGCACGACGCTCCTCAGAGGCTCGGAGGTGGGTGAGCAGCCCCAGGGCTGAGCCGAGCTGGGCTCCTGGCGGAGAGCCCGGGCCCAGGAGGAGTTAACAGTCACCGCAGCCTCTGAGCCCCAGATGCTCTTAACCATGACTCATCACAGCACGTGGCTGCCATTAGCGCTGTCCCTTCGCGAAGGCAGGGGACAGGAGGGGGAGGGGGAGCGGAAGGGAGGAGGGGCTCCAGCTCTCCGGGGTCAGCGCCGAGCTCCAGGGTGTCAGGGGGAACCAGGGGCGCGGGCTGCAGGAGGACAAGTGGACAGATCCCAGGGGAGCCAGGCGGGTGTGGGGCAGGGGCAGGGGTTGGGTGATGACTGCTTACATCAGCCGGACTTCTGGGGGAGGCGGTGGGTTCCCGCCCTGCCTGCGTGTCAGCAGAGAGCAGCTAGATGCTCATTTGCAAGAGTCATCCCAACGCTGGGAGCCTCAGCTACAGGCACACGAAAAGGTAATTAACTACCAAAGCCACCACTGTGATACCCACCAGCAACTATCAGGAATCCAGGTTGGCGGGGTGGGGCTCCCCGAGACGCAGAGACAGAGCTGACAGCTGGAGTTTGTGAGGTAGCGTGTCTAGAGACAGTCCCGGGAGGAGGACCATCACAGTTTCAGGCATCTGCACATGCTGTCCCCTCAGCTAGAACACACACTCCTTATTCACTTGTGTCCCCAGGGCTGGATCAGAAGCTTACCACTGGGAGGCCTCTTCTCCAAAGAAGAATACAATTTATTAATATGAAATTGCAAGGGTCCTCCTTCGGTCCAGAAAAGGTGTGTGAGTGGAGATTCCAGAAGCTTTAAGCTACCTTCACTCCTGGGTAAATCTTTACTGTATTTGACATTTATTTAGCGTCTACCACCTAGCTGGGCATGGTGGCATGTGCCTGTAATCCCAGCACACTGGGAGGCCGAGGCAGGAGGATAGAAAATTGGAGGCCAGCCTGGGCAATTTAGTGATTTAGTAAGCTTCGTCTCAAAAAATTTTAAAACGCCTGTGATATGCTCAGTGCCAGGGCCCAAGGATTCAATCCCCAGTAGGGCAGGTGGGGGAAGAACATGCCATAAGCCCAAAGTCCTCCTTACCCCGCAGGTGTTCCTTCTCCTCAAGAGCACCTGGGTGGCTGGGTCTGGACCTCTCTGGGTACTCACTGCCTAACCCCCTGGCCCATCCTAAGCCCCTTGGCTGTCAGTGCAGGTGAGTGGCGGCGTATACTCAGGCCCTGGGGGAGTAGGAAGAGAGGTTTTTATATGACTGTCTCTGCCATCAAACTAGGAGCTTCTTAAGGGTGGACTCTGGTCAGGTTCATCTCTGTGTCTCCAGGCCTGACATCTGGTGCCTGACTAATCACCAGCCATGCAAAGCCCAGTATGTAGCTGTTTCCCTCTGAGGCAATTATTGTCACAATGGCTGACACACATCAAAAGCTGCTTCCCACCCCACACGGTGCCTCTGTGAGCCTCAGCATCCTCATCAGTAAAACAAAAATAACACTCCCTACCTTCAAAAGGCTGTTGTTAGGATCAAGAATTCATGCATGGTCATCAGCACTGGTGGTTCAGTGGTAGAATTGTCACCTGCTGTCTAGGGCCATACCACCCTGAATGCACCCCATCTCCTCTGATCTCCAAAGCTAAGCAGGGTTGGGCCTGGTTAGTACTTGGATGGGGGAACTGTCACCTGCCAAGTATCCATGCATGGGAAGTGCCCAGAACAAGGCCAGTACCTGGGGATGGCTGGGTGGCTGCTGGTTTCTGCTTTTCTCCCCATTTTACAGATGAGAGCAAAGCCCAGCAAACTCTGCAGCAGCTCCCCCCACCTGACACAGCGCTGGGATCCGGAGCCAGTCAGCTGTGAATCAGAGCATCAGACGGGCCCACCTGTAGGAGGCTCCGCCCACACCACTCCTGGCCCCCAGGAGCCCTGAGTCACCATCATTGTGTCTGAGACCCAACCCAGGTGCCCCTACTCAGATCACAGGCCTACGCCCCCTACCTTGGGCTGACCCATGGGCCCCAGGGCTGGGAGGGCATCCTCAGTCTGGGTCCCTCTCTGCGGGAGACCTGCTTCCTGGTGTTTAATGACTGGGAGATGCCAGGCCTGCCTTCCTCCTCATTCCTTCCACCCTGAAAGACTGCCAGTCCCCACCCCCTCTGTCCCCACGCCCTCCACCGGGGATTGCTTTCACCTGTGCCACCTCTCAGTCCCTGGAAACCTCCTCGAAATGGCCCAGGCAGTCTGTGCTAGCGTAGCCTCCTATCCTACAGACGCGAGAACTGCGAGAACTGAGTTTGACCAAAGTTGACCCCTAGCTTGAACCACATCTTGAGTCCTTATCCTGCAGGGAACGGGAGAAGATAAGCAGGAAGGAGGGATGTTGGAAATGGATCTCAGAAACAAGGTGTGTCAGCCTGTGCCCTTGTCTTAGAAGGAGCTGCAGCTGTGAAGTCAGCTGTGCACCCAGCTCTGAATCTGTCTCCCACTGGTAGACTTGGATAGTGATACAAACTCTCAGGACTCTGTGACAGTGTCTGAGCATTACTCAGGTGGCCCCTTGTCCCTGTTCCTCCTTCAGGCCCCTCCCCAGGCCTTTTCCAGGAAGGAGGTGCCCTTCACAGCCATTGTGGTCTCGGCCAGCCCAGGCTCCCTCTCCCAATCCCTCCCAAGCCCTGAGCCCGGGTCCCTAAGCAGGTTTTTTTTTTAGGGCACAGGCTTGGGCTGGTTAATTCACAAGGGAGCAGGCCCATGGACAGGGCCTGTGACAGACATATTTCCGGCAGTGACTCCTGGGGCTGCTCCTGGATGGGCCTCCTCCCTCCTACCCACTGGGCCCTTACTAATTATGTGTCCTGCGGCACGTCACGGTCCTACTCTCCCTTGGTTTCTCTCTCCCTTCCAGACAGAGGGGAGCTCAAGGGCCTTCCCTGTTCTGATGTCCCTTGTTCCAGGATCCTATTCCTCCATGGTGTACCCAAGTCCAGTGTCCAGCAGCTGCCAAGGGTGGTCCTAAGAAGGAGTGTGGGGCTGGCATGAGGCACCAAGAATAGCTCTGACAGACAGGAAGGGTCGGCACTCTCATGGGGGGTTTCTGACATTAAGTAGCATCCTGTTGGGGGCTAGAACTTGGGCTGCAAGGGAAGATCTGGATGGACATCTGGCCCCACCATGTCCCAGCTAGTCAGACTCAGGTAAGTCATCCCAAGGCAAGCTTGAGGCAGGGTATGGAGTGGCTCAGAGAATATCCTCGAAAGCCAGAACAGCACCCCTGCTCTGACACCCTGGGCCAGGATTTCATCTTTGCAATGGTGATGATGGTGTTACAAGGATCCAATGAGGTAATACATAGAAAGCTCTTGGCCAGGTGTGGGGGCACACATCTGTAGTCCCAGCACCTGAGAGGCTGAGGCAGGAGGATTGCTGGGAATTCAAGGCCAGCCTGACATACCAAGGAGTACCTCAAAAAAGCAAGGAGCACCACCACTGTACATAGCAAGACCATACCTTAAAAAACAAAACAAAAGCTTTTAGAATGGAGCCTCAGCGTTTTTCTTTCAGCTCTAGTTTCCTCGCCTAGGAAGCAGTGATAACAGGATTGCTGTGAGTACCAAATAAACCAAGGAACCCTAAAGGGCCTGGGACTACCTGAGGTAGCCCAGACAGAAGGGCTTCCCACTAGCCATGCTCCTGGGGGCCTTCCCAGGGCCTCAAGGCCTCTCTGGTCGGAGTCATGGGGAGAGTAAAAGATGATGCATGAATAACAGATGTCACATGCTGGCTGGAGGGCCACAGGCAAGGGTGTGTCACCCTGTTACGGCAGCAGAGGCAGGAGAGCACTCTGGAGGTAGGGGACACACGTTCAGTGGTGTCCAGGGAGAGGAGCCAGGACTGAGAGGGGTGGTGCCAGGGGAGAGGAGAAGGGAAGGGAAGATCCAGGTGCAGAGCTGTTGGGCCGAGCCGTTCACCTGACTGTCCTGGTCTGTGTGTGCGGCGCTCTTGGGTCATCTTCTGTCATCCCAGTGTCAAACAGGGGCCTCCCACTCGAGCTCTTAGAAAGACAGCACAGTTAGTGGCCTTCAGTCTGAGACTCAGCTGCTCGGCATGGTGGACGGGGTTTCTCAATCGGAAATGCATCCCGGGCTGTGCTGCTGGGTCACGCAGGCTGTGGGCGCTGGGCAGAGCCAGCTCCGCAAGAGATGAGGGAGGACCCTTGAGACGTTGCTCTGCTCCCTCCAAAGGAATGGAGCGTCTCTGCTGGGCTTCTCAGGGCCGGAGCACCTCACACCCCCGCCCAGGCCTGTTGAGGCTCTTGCAGCCAAAACCAGCCATTGGTAGGTGAGAGAAGGGTTTTACTTGAAAGCAGCCCATTTCTGCACCACTATTTACCAGGGAAGGGCTGGGCGGAAAGGCTTTGGAGTTGACAGAGAAAACGGCCCCTCTTTCCCGGGAAGGGAGAACACACCCAGGAGGCTCTCCAAGGCCGGGGAGTTCTTCGGGGAGCTCCTTCCTTCCAGACGCTGAGGGGCTCAGACAGGAGTCCTGCGTCATCAAAACCCTTGAATCCCTGGTTCCTAAGGTGTTCTTCAAAGTGAAACACTTTGGAGCTGTGAGAAACACAGTTCTGCTGTTTGTAAGCCGCCCAGGTCTGGTGCCCTCGAGTGGGGCTGTGTGGGCACAAGGCAGACACTGGGTAAAGAGCGCCAGGAGCGTTCTGCCATCATGCCAGGGTGGTGGTGGCAGTCAGGGCCAGAACGGCCCAGTCCGGCAGACACAACTGAGGGAGGGTGGTGGGTGACGCAGGCTGCAGAGGTGGCCGTGCAGGATTTTTCAGTTCTCAGGTTCCATAAACAGCTGGCGGACTCTGAGAGGAAAGGACAGGGGCACCCCACATCCATCAGAATTTGAGTGCTCATGCAACCCCCAGGTTTACAGCAAGGTTCCCACAGTGACCACACCTGTGCGCCACCCCCATCCTCTTTTTTATTTATTTATTTATTTTTATCTCTTTGAGACAGGGTCTTGCTGTACGGTTCAGGCTGGGCTTGAGCTCACTTTGTAGCCCAGGCTGGTCTCGAACTTGCAATGATCCTCCTGCCTCAGCCTCCTGAGTGCTGGGATGACAGGCCTGTACCACCACGCCAGGCTTCCCATCCTCTTATTTGCTCCCTCAGCAGTTCTGCCCTTAATGCAGTCTTCAGAGCCACCTTCCCTTGCTTGGGGAGTGGTGCCTCGCCACAGTGGGGGCTGAGGTTTTCGAGGAAGGAGCCCTACTGCAGGCCCCGAAGGTGATGGTCCCCAACAGGAGATGCACAGGCCTCAGGACAGTCCCTTTTTCTCACCCCAACAGCTCCAACTTACCTAGGCGTGGTGCCTGGGGTCCCCTTCCATCCCCACTGTCCTTCCAGAATCCTTTCTGTGCAATACAAATACCCTGGAAGGAGGATGTCCTTGCATCCACATGAAGGAGGTAAACTTAATACCACACATCCCAGCAACTGTTAGGTCCTTAAAAGAGTGACTTCACTGCCCCCATCCTCACATGGAGGAAGATGAGGTTCTCTCAGGTCAAGTAACTGAGTCACAGTCCTGTGAGCAGGGTGAGCCACCTCCTAAGCCCTCGCCCTCTGGGCGTGCTGTGGGCTTCAGGGCAGTGTGGTGGCCAGGGGTGATGGCGGAGAGGGCATAGGTCCTCAGTCACCTTGTGGGAGCCACTGGGAGTAAAGAATTCTCAGTATTTGTGCCCAGCAAGCGCCAGCCCAAGTCCAAGGTGCACGTGTGCAGCCATACCTGCACTCCCTTCTCAGGCCGGCGCAGCTGCTTGGCCAGAGGCTGCTTCTTGCCCTCCTTTCTGTCCCTTACCCACCTCCCCGCACGGTGGCTCTCAGTCTCGACTCCCAGCCTGTCCTTTTACCATATTTCAGCTCTTCCTGCGTAGCCCTTCTAATCTCTACCCCAGCCTCTCTCCGGGGTTATCATGCCTCTCCCTTACTTCTAGCCCCCCACCCACCCACTGTGACATCGGCAGCACAGAGCACTTGGAAGGCTCCCCAGTGCCTACAGGACAGAGCCCGGCTGGATGCTCACAGGCAGGCAGGGCGAGAACCCATCGGACAGAGCCAGTTCTCAGAGCCAGGGCATCTTGTCCTCCTCGGGAATCGTTCCCTCAAGCCCCTCTCAAACTGAAACAAACCCAGTGCCATTCTACACAAGCTGCTTCTGTCCCCTCCACATGGGTAGATGACAGTGACCCAGAGTCCCAAAATCGTCTGTCCATGGGTCCTCCTCATGGGGTAGCACTGTCATCTTTACGCATACAAATGCCCTGCCCAAGGCCCACTAGCGCTTTCCAACACAGTGAAACCTGCCGCATGTAGTGCAGCTCTTGAAATTCCTGGGGAGGATGAAGAAATGAAGACAAGAGTCAGGATGCAGAAAGCTGAGGTCAGGTGGAGCACCCCTCTCCTGATGGGAGCAAGGACCACCCAACAACTGCATCACATCTACTTATATAGTCAGCATAAGAGGCTGTTTACAGAATTTTAAGGAGAGGGTATGATCTGAAACAGGAACAACATCCACCCAACGAAACAGCATGCCTTGGTGGTTATACGGGAACAAGAGAGGAGTTGTCTATATAATCTCAGAGGAAGGCCACATCATTCTGTGCACCAGCTCCCTGAGCTGTGTACACTGCTCAGGGGACCCTGCCAAACTCAGGAGAAGCAGGGACCTTGTTCGACCTGAGGTACAAACAGCTTCACCCCAGCTCAGCCTGCCTGTGAAATCTGGAGCTCCTCAAGCACTGAGCTGCAACTGGCCACACCCCGTTTCTGCTGTTTCACACACTTCAGGCTTTGGCGGGGACTTGTCCTCCCTCCCAGAATGCTCCAAGTACTACATTGCCTCATTGCAAGCCAACCCAGCATCTACTTCTGATCTATCATTTCTGCGGTTATGTCCGTGGGCCACACTAGAGCAGAGGATGGTATGTCTGAAGTGACATAGTATATGTAGCGTCCTGTACCATGCCTACAACACTGCACATGCTCAATAAAGTGTGCCAGGAAGCCAGGTGTGGTGGTGCCGACCTGTAATCCTAATACTGAGGGAGGCAGAGGTGGGAGGGTCTCAAGTTCAAGTCCCACTTGGGTAATTTAGACCCTTTCCCCCCGCAAAAAAAAAAAACTAAAAAAAAAAAAAAGGTCAGGGCTGTAGCTCAGTGGTAGAGTGCCTGGGGTTTTGATTCCCAGGACCTAAAAAACAAAAACAAAACCAACTATGCTGAGAACTAGGGATACAAAAACAAAACAGCATGCCTTGGTGGTTATACGGGAACAAGAGAGGAGTTGTCTATATAATCTCAGAGGAGATTATATAGACAAGAGATTATACAGACATTATAATCTCAGAGGAGATTATATAGACAAGAGATTATATAGACATTATAATCTCAGAGGAGATTATATAGACAAGAGATTATATAGAGATTATATAGCCTCTATATATTATATAGAGATTATATAGCCTCAGGGCTACGCAGGAAGAGCTGAATCTTACCTCCCTCAGCGGCACAGTACCTGCCTGGCAGCACAAGGATTTCCAGAACTAAAAAAAAAATAAAAAAATTTGAAAAACGAAAACAACAACGACAACAAAAAACCTATGCTGAAAGATGAAGGAGAACCACGGAGGAGAAACAAAGATGCTGGAGCCCTGGAGACAAATGTTGACAGGGGATGGCGGCAGAGGAAGTTTCCTGAGGCTTCCTTATATGTCAGGGTGGAGCGATGGCCTTCCGCGCACCATGAGCGCATGGAGCATAGCGTGGGAACACTAGGCCCGGCGGCACTGCTGGGGCAGTAAGGGTCAGGAAATGATGAGAAATAGGCTGGGATGGGTCGCCAGCCCTGCCTCGTGGCCCTGAACTTTAACCTCTGGGCGACTGAGAGTCACAGAGAACACCCAGGCTGTGTATCCAAGAGACCGGCAGTGTGCAAAGGGTGAGGCTGGAGTTGGGGGATGCTGCAGCCATCCAAGCAGCCACGGGCTGGGACGGGGACACAGGAGAGGAACAGGTTTGGGGGTGAAGATGCTGTTTGGACTGGCTCTTGCCAAGTTTGCGGTGCTCCGAGCACAGTCTGGTGGAGGACGCCGCATTGCTCTCTCCCTAGGACAGCAGAGCGAACTGCAAACGTGAAGGACTTCTGGGGAGGTGGCGCTCGGAAAGGGCCAGTGACACATCCCGGCAAGGCTGGACTCGGAGGGGCTGTGGTGCCCGCGCTCGCGCTCGCTCGTGCGCTGCACTCCGGGGTGCGTGGCCATCAGGAGGGCGAGGTCCCGCACGCTGGGTGGCCGCGCTGCGCTCCCGCAGGAGTGCGGGGGACCCGGTGACGCAGGGGAGAGCTGAGCAGGCGGGCGCCGCGCACCGGTACCCCTTGCGATGGCCCGCAGGGTGCGGTCGAGCCGGGCGCGGGGACTGGGGCGCTGCGCTGCCCCGCTGCGGTCTACAGCCGCACCCCCTCGGTTTCGCCCCGGCTCCCCCAGCCTCCGCCGCTCCGGGTACCTGCGGTCGCCTCTCCCGGAGGCCGCCCCCTGCCGGGCGCTCCGAGAGGCCAAGGGCGCGGGCGGCCCTTCGCGACCGCGGTGGCAGCGGCGGCTCCCGCGGCAGCACCTGGACAGCGCGGCTGGCGGGGGCGGCTTTTCCCGCCCCGCCGGTGCCTCCCTCCCAGTCTGGCGGGGGCGCCAGCGTCCCAGGACGGCCTGGGGTCCCAGCGCAAGTCCACCCCCGTCCGAAACCAGAGGGGATCGCAAACACATTGAGAACCATCGCTAGACGCGGGGAGAAACCTGTCCCAGAGGTCGGGCGGCCTCTCCCTTCTGGCGCCTGGAGCACGCCCTGCATCCCACTGGGCGGCCTGACGCCCCGCCAAGGGCTCTGTGGAACCCTTCCCCTCCTGCCACGCTGGGCCAGAGCCGGCCTGCCAAGGCCGCCTCTGCCTGAGCGGGGCCAGGGCTAGGGGCTGGGTCATGCACGGGTCATGGGTCAGGCGCGGCACACGACAGGGCCGGGAGGCGGCAAGTCGCTGCCCGAGCCTGATGGCGGAGGCTGCAGGCCAGGCCTGGCTGGGTACTGGGATGCGACCCAGTTTACAGACTTCTGATCCCCAGGCCTCCGAGGGAGGATAAGCTGCAGCCCGCCTCCAGTGCGCACTTTCTTTGAAGTCCCATACTTTATCCTAGATCATGTGCATTTTTAGTTCCTTTAAACTACTACTGACAAGTGGAATATGCTTTGGCCAGGGCAAGCCCCGCTGGTATGGCCCAGCAGGGCTCTGGGTGGCTCAGCGAAGGACAAGGGGCAGCAGGGCACCGTGGCCTGTTTGAAAAGGCCTTCTCCAGCTCCTAGGCACCCTGGAGACGTCTTTCATGGTGGGTGGGTGGGAGCGGGGCACAGAGCAGGGCTGAGGGCCTTTGTCTCATTTGGGGCTGGGGCCGTATTATAGGTGCTCATGCAATACAAATCTTAGGTCCAATAAATGAAAACTGATTCTGGCCAGCTGGGTATTCTTGAATGTGCCACACCCCGAGCCAGGAGTTTTATATAAATTCTCATTTATCTTCAACCCATTAAATGTTCATAGACCCCCATCTCACAGTAGATGAAACTGATGTTCACAGTGGTTAACACCTCTGAGACCAAGCTGAGGAGCCAGGTCTTACACCCAGGCCTGCCTGCCCCTTCCGGCCAGCCTGCCATCAGGCCATCTGTCCCTCTCCAGTGGACCGAGCTGATGGGACCTTCCCCACTCCAGTACTTATGGTCTTGGATGAACAAGGGCCCAAGAATGCTGCCCATCTGCCCACACAGCCAGTGGCCAGATCTGGAGATGCCACCTGCAGTGTAAACATGCCCTAACCCTCACCCACAAAGCCCTGTCCAGCTGGGCAGCACAGGGCACTGAGGACGCCAGTGTCCCCTGACCCACAGGCCACTGACAGAGGACTTGAACACCCATCTAGCCCCCGAGCCCACAGCAACACGGCTTCCTCCAGGAAGTCTTCTAGGATCTCCACACTGGAGAGGTTGCTCCCTTCTCAGACTACATTTCTGCTTCTCATGCAGTATTTAGCGCATTTTTAAACCCTTGCATTCTCTAGTCTCTTCAGATGTCTAGCCAAAAGTACTGAGAGTATCTCTTACCTGTCTTCCATGAAGCCAGGCACCACTGCTACACCTAGTAGGCACTCAGTGTTAAGGAAATGAAGACTTAATAATCCAGCAAGCTACTCAGCAGGCACTATGCTAAAGACCAAGTGGTAGTACCTTTACATACACTGCTGGAATCCAGACAACTCTTTAAGACTATTTAATTCACATGATTAGAAATGCTCCTAGGATTTCTTTTTGTACCAGGAATTAAACTCAGGACCTTGCGCTTGCCAGGCAGGCACTGTGCCGCTGAGCTATCTCTCCAGCCCTGAAATGCTCCTAAAACAGTCAGGGGCTGGGAATTCATCCCCAGGTTTTTTGTACTGGGGATTGAACCTAGGGCTTTCACACTGAGCAACATCCCTATCCCCTTTTTAAAATTTTGAGGGCTGATGATAGAGCTCAGCAGCATACAGCACCTACCTGGCAAGTGCAGGTCCTGAGTTCAATTCCTGATACCCCAAAACATAAAATCTTAAGACAAGTCTTACCAGGTTGCCCAGGCTGGCTTCAAACTTTCAATCCTCCTGCACCAGCCTCTTCAGTAGCTGGGATTGCAAGAATGCACCAAGTTGCCATGCCTCGCGACTTTTGATTCTTAACTTCAGGACTTGTTTAGATATACGATCTATGTAGTTCAGGCTGGCCTTGAATACACTCTGTAGCCCAGGCTGGCTGAGGACTCAGAGATGCTCCTGCCTCAATCTTCCAAGTGCTGGTATTACAGGCATGTGCCACCATGCCCAGCTTTGTTTCCTAATCTGCATCATTATCTGTTTAGAACTGTATTAGTCCTTGTTCTAAACTGTTTACAAGTACACATCCTCAGAATAACTCTATCATGTATGTCCTCAATTTTAATAGTTGAGAAAGTACAGTGAAATTAAGTAATTGCTCAAAATCACAGCAGCTGGCTACGTGGCAGAACTGGACAACAGCCAGACTAGATCTGAACCCCAGCCCACCTGCTGTACCAGCTTAGAACATGCATTTATGAGCCACTTTTCCAAGCTAATCGTATTTGCATCTTGTCACAACCCCACAGCGGGCTAGGTTTTATGCCTCCCATCACGCGTTGCTGTTGAGCCACTGCCTACGTTAGAACCTTCACCCTAGCACTTGCTGTGTTGACTTCAAGTGAGTCACTTAACCTGGGCTCCTGTTTTCTCACCAGCAGCATAAGGAAAATTACAGGAGTTGTGTAAGGATTGCAGGGATCAATGCAAAAGAGTGCTGCACATGGTGTATGTTACGTGAACCACCTTCAGTAATAGCTTTAGCCAGAATCAGAAAGAACTGTCCTGTGTAAATGACTTTGAAGGTAACTGATGTTTATTCTCTTTAATCATAGATCGACCTTCTCCTAATATGTATTACCTTTTCTATCTTCCTAAAAATGGGCATGATACTCTTTGCCTCTGTCATCTTTAATCCTTACAACAACCCTGGGAGGAAAGCATTCCCTTGAAGGACCAGAAAGGTTAAGAGACCAACCCTGTCACACAGGTAGGCAACTGGAAGGCCAGAATCTATTTGTGTATTCGTTTGTTTGTGGTCTTATAATTGTTGCCCAGGCTGGCCTGAACTCCTAGGTTCAAATAATCCTCCTGTTTCAAGAAGCTGGGACACAGGCATGTACCAGCATGCCCAACTCAAGACAATCTTGTTATATTTGCACAGATAACATCAGGACCTAAATGTTTTTTTTAAAAAGTTAAGATTTTAAAAAAACCACCTGGGCCAGGGAAATAGCTCAGTGGCAAAGCACTCGCCTGGCAAGTATAAAGTCATGAGTTTGATTCCCAGTTAAAAAACAAACAGCTCTCATTTTGTCTTGTATTGCAGTACCCACTGAATGATGATTATATTTCATTAAAAAACTTAACATACTGAAAATTTCATATACAACAGATCAAAACAGATACGCAAACTCATCCCCAAGAGACATAGTTACCCAACCAGCCAAACCAGATTGAAACCTGATTATATGAACCTGATAAAAGTGTCCCTGACTTGGGCAGCCGTCATTGCTAAGATTAGGAGACTGAGGCAGAGTCATTTTAGCACAAGCAAAGGAAATGTATTCATCTAATCGTGAGTGGCTGTTTTTACCAGGAAGTGGCACTCTGGTCTCTGTGTTAGTCCCTGTGAACAAGTGCAATGGGAGCTGTTCTGCTGATGAAAATCAGGTTTTACACTTGGACCAGGATGAATTCACTGACGTGATGGATGCCACTTAAGTGAGGCCTTTTGGGATACTGTCTGATATCTCGCCAACCCTAGCATCAGTGTGGCCTTATGTTTCAAAACATTTTTCTTGTCACTATGCTTTTTCTGACGAACAGAATACTGTGTCCCAGAGACACTGCTTCTGGGGAGCCTTCCCCAATCCTCTCATTAGGACTCACCCTCTCCTTCTCCGGGCCCCAGCACTCCTTTGGTATTTTCAGCCTGCAATGTTGTGAAAGAAAGTGCACGTCCTAGCTCTCTCCCCTACTGTACCACAAAGTCAAGGCCCTTGTATGCATCTCCTCTGCCCTGGGCCTAGGACACAACAGGTCTTACCAAAGGTTAACAGAACGACGACTTCCTCACTGCGCATGCTGTAAACTCAACACAGAATTTTCTGACAGTAAGAGTACACTATAGATCCAGGCATGGGGAAGTGTTTGAATAGTCTTTCCCAGCAGTACAATGATTAAGTAGATTCTAGAGACAACTGGCGTGTGTGTGTGTGTGTGTGTGTGTGTGTGTGTGTGTGACTGGAGGTTGAACCCAGCGCCTTCAAGCAGAGCTATATCCCCACTCCTTTATTCATTTTTAAAATTTTGAGACAGGGTCTCACTAAATTGTCCAGGCTGGGCTCAAACTTGCAATACTCCTGCCTCAGCCTCCCAGTGCTGGGATTACAGGTATAAACCACCATGTCCCACAAGTCTGGGTTTGAATCCTAGCTCTAGCACCTTTTAGATTTGTGACTTTGGGCAAATTACTTAAGCTCATTGTTCCTGTTTTCTTGCTGTTGTTCTTTGGTTTTGTAATGGGAACTGAACTCAGGACCTTACGCTTGCCAGGCAGACACCTGTGCCACTGAGCTATATCCCTGGCCAGTTTTCTTATCTGTAAGCTGGGACAGTATCTTTAAATCAGGGCATGGAAATTAAATGAACCATATACATAAATTGCTTCAAATAGTAACAGGCACATAGTAAGTGCCATACAGTGGTACCTCGGTTCACAAACTTGATTCTATGGATGATTCACGAGGACCAAATCAAATTCAATGGTTTGGTTCAATGTTGACCTCATGGGCAAGTTCGATTTGGTTCTCATCCAGTTCAGTTTGCCACCAGAACTGTGGAGAGAAGTGAGTTCATGAACTAAGGTACCACTGTGTGTTAGCTTGCAGCTATTATTTAAAAATACTCGAGCCCAAAGAAAAACTGGAGGCCTTTAAAACAGCACAATCCACAGCTCAGCCTGGAATGACAAGGGGGGACATTAAATGAAACTCACAGAACAGAGAGATCCGAAAGTCGTCTTCCACTACTCCAGTGGTTCTCAAAGGGAGGTCTCTGGGCCAGTAATCACCTGCCACTGCTAGGAATGTGAATTCTTGGGTCCCTCTGTAGATCTACTGAATCAGAACCTCTGGGGGTGGGCCCCAGCAATCTGAATTTTAAGCTTTCCAGATGATCCTGATGCTTGAATTTTGAGAACTATTCCTTTCCTCCCACCAATAACATCTATTCAGACACTAAGACTTGTTAATTCTAAATCATTCATTCTCAGCTCCTTCTGGGCATCAGTCAGAACCACACTTCAGGCCCTCACCATCTCAACTGGATGACTACAGCAGCCTTCTACTTGCTCTCCCTGCTTTACCCAGTTTGCTCCTAGAGCAACCCCCACAGCGCCCCTAAGGATGCAACTACACACACATGCACACACAACAACCCACTCTTCTGCCCACAGACCTAAGCTCTAGTCACTGAGCTGCTCTGAACTCAATTCTATGAGTTAGGTGTGAAGGTATTTATTAGATGAGGAACAGGAAGTTCAGGAAGGCTAAATAACTTTCCCAAAGTAACTTTTCCATCACTTTCTCAAAAATGCCTGGGATTCAAACCCAGGAACAGATGAAACCCAGGAACAGATGACCTTATTAGATCACTATGCCTCCCAAGACTCCATGTCAACAGATGCAGACAAAGCCGTATGTTTCAGGCTCTGTCTCTTTTTGAGACAGGGTCTCGCTATGCAGTTCAGGCTGGCCTTGAGTTCACTTTGTAGCCCAGGCTGGCCTTGAACTCGAAGCAATCCTCCTGCCTCAGCCTCCCGAGTGCAAGGATTACAGGTGTGCACCACCATGCCCGGCCCAGACTCTGTCTCTGTATATATATTTCCTAACTTTCACAAACATAGGACAAAATAAGTAAAAGTGAGATTTGATGCATATTATTTATTCTCTACCAGGTACTGTCCCACACATTTTAGACACACTAATATGTGCTGACTGCACACCTACTCCTCCTTGTACAGCAGACATAATCAGAGGACTGAAAAACTCCAGTGCAAACTGGATATATGGATAGTATGCTTTATTATTATTTAAAGTTTATTTAATTTTCATAATTACAACCTATAATTTGGAAGTTTGAAAAGTAAAGAGAAAATTCTATAAAGAGAGCCCAAATAAAGTTGAACTGGTAGAAGATGGTTAAAACTTTCTAGGCAGAGCCACTGAGCTTTCGGCAACACACATCTGTCCTTTTCAAGAGCAGGCCCCGAGGCCAGGGTCAACAACATATCACAAAGGACTCTACGACATTCATCCTACACAAGCACATGTGGAGATATAGATATATATTTATATAATATATACATACTTTAATATTATATTGGTCCACTGAGTATACATATTTTAACAAAAGATAAGAATCTATAATCCAGTTAAACATACATTAAGATTAGGGTATACTTATTACATCAAAAGTTGGTGTTTATAAGTTACAGACATTTAATATTTTCCAGAGTTTTTTTAATTAAAAAAATTTTTTTTAAAAGCATTTCAAATATTTGTTCACTTTCCCAGTGCAAAAGAAAGTTGTTCAAGTCAACTTACCTTTTTCCTGAAGAGTAAGGGGAAGGAAAACAAATCCCAGAAAATACAGCCTATCACAGCTGCCAATGCTACCTTCTCAATCAGCGTGTGCAGTAAATCCTCAGGTCACTGAATTCGTTTATCAAAATTAAACCCTTGCTGATTATGATTCAACCCTTGCTTTGTATGTTTGATTTTTTATGCTGCAATGTTTCCATTTACAAAAGTAGAAAAGGTACTAGCAGTGTAAGCAAGTGGTTTAAGTTGGGTTTTAAATGCCAGCTGTCCAATTGTGTGTAAAAGAAAAAAGCACCACCTCAAGATGAAATTAGGTATTTTGAATTTATTTATAGGCTAGGCAATAACTTAGTCTGTTAATATTTATCAATACCATTTTGACTTATGACCCCAGAGAACTTTAATTAGTTTTGAGGAGCATTTTTCTTTATCCTGGTATTTAGTAAATCATCTAAGTCAGTGACACATGTTTACAAGTAAGAGTACAATTTACAGACTACTTCACAATCTCAAATTCAGCTTTCTGTTACGTCTGGGCTTGTCTGTGAATGGGGTTTTTAACACATGAAAAATTTTGATATTTTGGGGGTTCTTTTCTTTCCCAATTAAAAGAATTTTTTTGCCAGTTTGTCAATTTTATAGGTGAAAAACATGGAGAGTAAATAAACTAATTTAAACCACAAAGATGAATAAAAAGCAGTATGATCTAATACATGTCACTTTTCCATTTGTGTTCCGTGAGTTTTTGTATTTCAAGTAGTTGAGCCTTCATTAAACAAGAAAGAAAAAGAAAAGAAAAGAAAAATTAAGGTACCTTCCAGTTCTAGCTTGCTGAAGTTCCTTCTGCAAAAGTACAAGAGTAAACCTATCACAAACTAAAAAGGACAGTGCCCAAGCAAAGGCAGAATGGCTGTGTGTTAAGACTTTTCCTCACATGCTGATAAGTGTATTTTAAGTGATAAAGTTTCTCTGCTGGCACTTAAAGTGAATGTTTTCTTACAAATCTTATTCATAAGAAATTGACTTTGCTAATTAACAAACACAAGGAGAGGTATCTGTTGGTACAAGATTTTTTAAACCCAGAGAAAATTGTTTTTAAAAATGTATTTCACACATGAAGCTTTACTGTTTTTATTTTGGAAAAATTTCGCTCTCAAGTTAAAATGGTTCAACCCAAAGCATCTTTTCCAGTCGTGGAGTTGATCTATGCAAAATATTTTTCTTTGTCTCTAAAAAGCAAATAAAATAGTATTTTTACTACAGGGGCATTTAAAAATGCACTTTAGACCAGCCAATTTGTACCAATCATAAAGAAATAGGTTCTTTCCTTCCCCTCCTTCAACCACTCAAAGCAGGGGAGAATACTGCAGACTGGAAGAACCTCACAGGCTCCCATCAGAAGAACTACAGGTCAAGGCTAGCGCGGGGCAAACACAGAAGCTTGGTGCTATGGCTGCACAGTGAAGTAGCAGAGGCAGGCAGAAGCTCACAGTAAATGCGCACCGGACAGGGGCCTAGGTGAAGCGGTCTTATCTGATTTACTGCTTTTCAAGGAAAAAATAAAATGAGACAAATCTGCAAAAGAGTTAGAACCAAAAAACCTAGACTTTTGTCACATTTACAGGAATTTAAACCCTTTATATTCCCATGCTCATAGGTAGTTTGATATACATGGTAAATAGCTTCAATATTCAGGAAGACGAATATCGTATTGTTGACAAAGGACAAGAGAATTCTTCATGCTTCTGATATCTCAGATTTGCTGAGTGCAATAGCCAGTTCTAAGTCTTCTTGTTCTTGCTGGTTCAGCCGGGCAAGCCTCTGCTCTTCCTCTCTCTCACTCTCCCTCTTGGCCCATTCAATCATATCTTCTTCAGAGGGATACTGCCATTTAAAGGACAGAAAAAAATGAACAAGTAAAACAAAAGGAAAAGAGAAAACCGTTTTTATAAAAGAGCACTCACTACTTTTGTCTTTGAAGGACACTGGGAACACTCTTTTTACTGGTCTTTGTTCCCTCGAAAACATTTGAGGAGGGCAGGGTCTTGCTGTGTAGTTCAGGTTGGCTTTGAATTTGCAGCAATCCTGCCTCAGCCACCTGAGTGCTGTGATTACAAGTGTGCACCATCACGTGTGGCTAAACATGTTTAGTTTTAAACAGCTCATAAACTGGCTTATTTTTAAAAATTAATGTAGTCTACAGATAGTCAACATATAAAACATCAATTTAAAAGTAGAAATATTTAGGTAGATTATGAGATCTAGAAACAGGAGAGGGTTATAGACTTTTTAATCTAATGTTTATTAGATTTTGTTATTCTTTTATGTTATTCTTTTATGATTTCCCACCATATCTTAACCTTTCAGGTATAGTAAAACTATGAATAAAAAAGTCTCTACGAGTATTGACTATACTAAGCAAGATGTGAACTGAATCATTTTTTTTTTAACAAAAGCATTCTGAAACGTTTGGCAGATTTTTTTGACTCAGTTTTTTAAAAACCTTAATACTGGTGATTATTAGATCAGGGAAATAGTTTTATCCAAAAAACAGCTAGCTTGGCAGAAACTATACGCACTTCTTGGTTTTAAATCTTGCTACATAGAGCAGGCCCATAAAAGGATGAAAGAAACTTGTCAGACTTCCTGAAAATGGCAGTTTTTCCTCTACAGAATTAGAGGACCTGTGAAACTTAACAAAAGTTATGAGCTCTTTTACAATGAAAAAAGGAGCATTTTTTTTATTGTAAGCTGCTTTATATTACACTATATTGAGATACGGGAATATGAAAAAGCAAAATGCCTCAGTTATTGTTCAAGACTCATTTTCAACCAAGTTGAGACTTGCTGAAACTATACTTAAGATATGAAGTGTTACAAAATGCCGGAGGATTTTACACTAAGAGTATTATAATCTCTTAAGAAGGCCAATTCTTGATTCTCTGCTTGAAACAGCTCAAATTCCATCTGAAATGGAAGTTAAGTCAGAATAATTTTAGTTGTATTATATTATACAGTTAGTGATAGTCTAGTTGTATAACATTCAAAATACTGGCTTCTATTTTACTCCTTTCCATTCTGCAGAAGCTGCTGGCATTTCGAGCACAGATGCAAAAGCCTTGTATTGCAGCTGCGTCCACTGCAAGCAGATTCTTGTCCATCTGCTAACTACAAGCAGTGGCAGGAATAAAGCGTCTTGCTGAGAGACCCAATACTGTGCTACACAAGGAAGGAGCCAGGCAGATTGGGGCCAGGGTCACCTATTTCCAAAATCAAGGAAATAACATGTGTTATAGAGTGGGCAATGATGCAACCATTTTGCTGAAAAACAAAAAAACTGGAAAAAATGAGACTTTGTTAGCTACTCTAAGAATTTTATTAAAAACCAAAACAACCTGAGTAACAGTGGAATGTATAACACAGTGTTATGTCCCTCCAGAGTGACGGTTCCATAGTTGGCTGCCCCACATCTAAGATCTTGTATTTTAATTTTCTTTTTTAACATTTAGGATTTTTTTTTTTTTTTTTTTTTTTTTTT